TCCACATCGGTTAGGGAGGAAAAAGTTGCTGGGCTTATTAGTAAATCCCTCGCCTTACATGGCATAAGACTTTTTTCCAGGGATACTGGGAGGAACAAAGCCATGAGGGCTAGTGGGCCCAAAACAGACAATATTATGCCATGTGAAGGGTGGGGTGTTACAGGTATATGGGTACAATTGATTTTGTAAAAATTAAGCTAGTAATACATGAAGTACGTTGCATGTGAACATATTTAAATAATAATTTTTTGTTAAACTTATAAAACAATATAGATTATATGTGTAATTGAATTAAATAAATATACTATGTCAGAGAATTAATGTTTACTAACTCTAGTTATTAATCTATTCATGTATTATGTAGTAATTTGAGTTAGAATTACTATTAATTAATGACCTAAAGCTATAAGAATAAATAGAGCGAATAGTTAGAGATATAATTCTATATGATAAGATGAGTTTTGATAGGATATGGGAAAAAAATGATGACGTTAATAAAGATATGTGGGGTATAATTGGCTTAATATTATTAAATAGCGATGAAATAGNAATAATTCTATATGATAAGATGAGTTTTGATAGGATATGGGAAAAAAATGATGACATTAATAAAGATATGTGGGGTATAATTGGCTTAATATTATTAAATAGCGATGAAATAGAAAATCAAAAAATTTTCTCATATGCTGATATTTATAAGTAGTATAGATAGATATAGATTTACTTATTTGTTCCCTGATGATCGAACTTGAAATTCACTGAGTTATTATTACAACTTGATCACCTGCACTTAGGTGTATCTTTAGAGTTGAAGCAATTTTACCTTTTAGACATAGTAAGAATATTCGACAGAGATTATAGTATAATCAACTGACTCAGTTAGTTAGAGACTCGTACTAATAATGTCTTGTGAAACTAAAAAAACTTAATATAAAATAAATAGCACAAAACTAAATGGGAGATAATTTTAGTGAATGATATTACTCTCTTTTACTTTAGTTTTCAACATCCTTTATTCAACCTAAGGAATGTCTTTTATAGCTAAGCGAGCCAAAAGTTTCAACTTTCAACTACCCTATTTAATACTACGATAAAAAAACACAAAAAAACTACCCTATTTAATACAACTATTATTCACTACTATTAATGTACAATATACTATCATATTCATTATTATTTGACACTANTGATTAAAAAAAAAAAAACTACCCTATTTAATACAACTATTATTCACTACTATTAATGTACAATATACTATCATATTCATTATTATTTGACACTATACATTACAATTTGTGCACAATAATCATCAACTTGCATTTACAATAGAGTGATAACTTTTAACAACTAAAATTAATAAATAATTCACTCTTAGTGTAAGGTTCGAGTCTCACCAAATCTCCCTTCCCATATAAAGAAAAAAGATGAAGATAACGGATTACCAATTTTATTAGGGGAAATTGTGTAAAGGTACACCATTTCGTACTTATTTGTATAAAAGTAACTCAATATAAAACATATATGTAAAAGTACCTGTGTGTGTAAATGTTTGATGAGGAGATACACTTTTGTTGACTTTTAAAATTTTCTTTTACGGATCCTTTATTAATGGAAGACAAATCTGACAGTTATATTAGAGATTCAGTTTTCTAAATTTATGGTGAATTTTAAATTATATATTTATCTTTCATTCAACTGAAGTTATTTAAACCTTCATTTTTATTCAAACATTCATATATTTCCCACATTTGTATAATTTATTTATTTATTTTTATTTTTATATAAATCGTAATGATTAATATATGTTTTCACCTTATATAATATCATTGGTTGTTACGAGTGTTTTTTGCATGAATATTTTAAATTTAAATTTAAATGTATATGTATAATATTCGATGTGTTTATAAGTAGTAGTGGTAAATGTTACATTGACACAATGATACATGACACATTGACACAGTGGTACACGACAATGTCACAGTATTATAAGATAATGTTACACCGATACAAGCCAATGTCCCACTGATACTAGCCTATTTCACATTGATACTAGCTGATATCACAGTTCTACATATCAAATTCACACCACTACAAACAAATGTCACACCATTACAAGTCAATGTTACACTACATACATTAATATGACACAGGGGAAAAAGAAATATCAAAGTAGCACAATACACAAAAAAATTATATGACACACACATCACAAATAACTAAATCTAATGTAAATAAGATTATATAGTATCTTCATTGTTCATTAATCACATTTACATTTCATATGCCCACTGACAGTTTGAATAACTACTCATGTATCCCCAAATTTGCCTTTCAATATATGTCACACATTGAAATCGTCTTCTGTCCAAGAATTTTGATGATTCAAAAACACTAACAACATATCAATTCAAAAGTCTTTTATTTGTCTTTTTGTCAGCTTCTCTTCTACTTCCTCTCCTATTGCCAATTTTTTCATAATGTAGCATACGTATACACGACAATCGACCCTTACAGTATGGTTTAAATTAGTGTCTTGTGATGATTTGTTCAGTTAGTTAATAAATAATAAATATGCTTACAAGTTTGATAAAATTGCCAAAAAACTTTTAACAAAAAAAAAACTTGTTTGTGATTTAAGTAATATTAACTGATTGAAAAAAGTAATTTTTTCAACAACCAAAATTTGGGTATTGAAAAATACATAACAATTGCTTATTTTACAATGTAACATTCCATTTCAAAATNAAGTCTCACCAAATCTCCCTTCCCATATAAAAAAAAAGGATGAAGATAACGGATTACCAATTTTATTAGGGGAAATTGTGTAAAAGTACATTATTTCGTACTTATTTGTATAAAAGTAGCTCAATATAAAACATATATGTAAAAGTACCTTTGTGTGTAAATGTTTGATGAGGAGATACACTTTTGTTGATTTTTAAATTTTTCTTTTACGGATCCTTTATTAATGGGAGACAAATCTGACAATTATATTAGGGATTCAGTTTTCTAAATTTATGGTAAATTATAGGCAAATATGAAATGTAAATCTTTCAATATCTTTTAAATATTTACATTTCATAGGCAAATATTCAAATATTCATATGCCTTTCAATATATGTCACACATTGAAATCATCTTCTGTCCAAGAATTTTGATGATTCAAAAACATTAACAACATATCAATTCAAAAGTCTTTTATTTGTCTTTTTGTCAGCTTCTCTTCTACTTCCTCTCCTGTTGCCAATTTTTTCATAATGTAGCATACGTATACACCACAATCGACCCTTATAGTATGGTTTAAATTAGTGTCTTGTGATGATTTGTTCAGTTAGTTAATAAATAATAAATATACTTACGAGTTTGATAAAATTACCAAAAAACTTTAAACAAAAAAACAAACTTGTTTGTGATTTAAGTAATATTAACTGATTGAAAAAAGTAATTTTTTCAACAACCAAAATTTGTGTATTGAAAAATACATAACAATTGCTTATTTTACAATGTAACATTCCATTTCAAAATTACCTGTTTCACTATAAAAATCAATATTGACAATTTCTCAGATTAACAAAAAATTGGGAAAGAGTTAAAAAAAAATTTATTTTTTCACGGTGTACCTACAATATGGGATTGGGAACTATGAAGAAACAACCAACCTTATATCTTTTTTTCACAACTTTAACTTTTTTTTCAAAAAACTTCAACGATCTCAACTGTTGTTCTTCTCCACAATGCACCTTTTGTTCTTCAACAATTGATACTGTGTGATAATAACAGTTTGATGCCGATTTTTTCACTTCTCTATTGTAANAATTATTTTTTCACGGTGTACCTGCAATATGGGATTGGGAACTATGAAGAAACAACCAGCCTTATATCTTTTTTTTACAACTTTAACTTTTTTTTCCAAAAACTTCAACGATCTTAACTGTTGTTCTTCTTCACAATGCACCTTTTGTTCTTCAACGATTGATACTGTGTGATAATAACAGTTTGATGCCGATTTTTTCACTTCTCTATTGTAAAACCCTAAAAAAAATAATTTTTAAATGACGATTTTCAGGTAATGGTGATTTTAGAAAAATTTTATCATCCTCGTTTATAGTTCACACAATCTAGTGATAATAGTAAAACTATACACGACTGTTATATTTTCTTTTCCTTCCGAAGGAGTCTTCACTTGTTTCGAAAACTGTTCAATTTCTATCAAAAGAGGTATTTTAGACCGAGTGTGCATGTGTATTTTTTTACCGATCTTTTCAATTATAGTATTTTTTGTCTAATATTTCTAATAAATGGTACCCTAATTCCAATTTTTATTACCCATTTTCCAACATGCAAATTTGTCATAAAACCTANCGGTGATTTTGGGAAAGTTTTATCATCCTCGTTTATAGTTCACACAATCTAGTGATAATAGTAAAACTATACACAACTGTTATATTTTCTTTTCCTTCCGAAGGAGTCTTCACTTGTTTCGAAAACTGTTCAATTTCTATTAAAAGAGGTATTTTAGACTGAGTGTGCATGTGTATTTTTTACCGATCTTTTCAATTATAGTATTTTTTGTCTAATATTTCTAATAAATGGTACCCCTAATTCCAATTTTTATTACCCATTTTCCAACATGCAAATTTGTCATAAAACCTATTATAATTTGCAACGTTGTCCTTTTATCTGTGAATCAACCAGCCAGAGGTAGGGTTTAGCAATATATTCTGCCACCTGGGTTCGGAATCGTCTTTTTGGTACGAAAGACGCAGCATCAGTGCTCCTTTCCCGCCCTTCTTGAATCACTTCAAAAATGGTGAAAACCGTTTTAGCTTGTTTTTACTTTGTATATTCGTACAAACTTATGTTTGTGCATTTGACATCATCCTGTTTGTTTGCTGAGTAAATGTANGATATATTCAGCCACCTGGGTTCAGAATCGTCTTTTTGGTACGAAAGACGCAACATCAGTGCTCCTTTCCCGCCCTTCTTGAATCACTTCAAAAATGGTGAAAACCGTTTTAGCTTGTTTTTACTTTGTATATTCGTACAAACTTATGTTTGTGCATTTGACATCATCCTGTTTGTTTGCTGAGTAAATGTATCCAATTAAACAGGAACGAAAGGGAAATCTCTAAATGCTGGTTTTTGCATGAGAATTGATATTGGGGAAACTGGAAGCTCCGTTTTAACTCAGTTGATTTTTTTTTTCTCGCTTCATCATATGATTCATTGTATTTTTCTTTTTTTACTTTTTTTAGTTTCTTTCTTTGGATTTTTCTTNCTCCGTTTTAACTCAGTTGATTTTTTTTTCTCGCTTCATCATACGATTCATTGTATTTTTCTTTTTTTACTTTTTTTAGTTTCTTTCTTTGGATTTTTCTTTGGAACAGAACATGGGGTTTGGGTTTTTAGCATTCAATTTTCTGTTTCATTTTGAACATTGTTTGTGGGTTTTACTCCTGTTAGATCTGATTCATACATGTTCCATACCTGTTCGTTGGGAGCTATTTGTAATTGTGTTTTTAGTGGGACCTTTTCTTCTGCACATGCGTGTGTATATAGCTGAACCCTTCGTAACTGTTTTAGACAAATACATTTTTTTATAGGTTACAAATTACTGTGTTGTTTTGTGGATAGTTAAATTGTTTCTCTAATTGTTCTAGTTTTTGTATGTGCATGAATATTTTGTACTCCTGCATGCTTGTGCAGGCAAAATAATGAAAATGCAATCGGTGGACAATTGAAATATTGCATTTTGCATCTGGGCATATACATTTTTTCCTTCTCTCCGATGACAACTTTGTTCATTTTGAATTTGTGCGCATAGTGTGTAATCTGGACTTGGGTATATCAGTGCGGGATTTTTTTTACTCACTACATTCAGTTGAATCATATACCTTTTGAGGATTCTCTGAAAGCCCTTGTATAGTTTGAGGGTTTGAGGTGGTGGCCTTGCACCAAGTTTTTACTTTTGGTTGTCTCTTTTAAATAACTGCTGATCAAATTTTGTTTATCATTTCAGGCCTTTGTTAAAGCTCAAAAAACTAGGGCATACTTTAAGCGGTTTCAGGTTAAGTTTAAGAGAAGGACAGGTATGTTATTTGTGTTCACAGTTAACTGTAATGCTTTCTAGATTTTTATTATAAAAGTTTTTTTTTTTAGTATTAAGTGTAATTGTCATCTAATTTCCATTAGTTTCTATCTGATTGATATGTTTCTGTGAAATTTCTACAGAGGGGAAGACTGATTACCGTGCCGGGATTCACCTAATTAATCAAGACAATAACAAGTATAACACTCCCAAGTATCGATTTGTAGTGCGATTAGTATCCTTTACATACACTTGTACTATGCTTTCTCTATCTCTGTCTTTCTCTTCCCCTGTTGGCAGTTACTTGTATGAGAAACTTGTCTGTGGTATGCCTTAATGGCCCTTATCTGAAGTCTTGATATGTTAAGCATTTGATTGCAAGTGAAAATACTTTGGGTTTTAACTGTTTGTTTGCCTATCGATTTTTGCATCTGTTGTTGAGCTGGACCATGAGAATCATCTTCTTGGAGCCTATAGTATGAACAAAAAGAAGTCTTTACTTACTAAAATTAGATAAGTTTTTATGAATCAGATAGCATTGCATAGGAGTATTTTTTGGGGGTGAAGAGATGTTTTCAACCTTAATTTGGTTATCAGACAAACAAGGATATCGTTGCACAAATAACATCTGCTAGTATTGCTATTGTTCTTGCCGCAGCAGCAGTAAAATGGATTCTTTCAAATATATGCATTTACAAGATGAATTCTTGGCACCTCTGAGCCCAATTCCTAACTTTGTGAATCAGAAGATCAATTGAACCAATCTTTTCTTACATGACTGCACTCGGAAATTTCAGAAAGGTGGATGTAATTTCTAGAACCAAGGATATTTCTGCAAACACTACCATGCTCAACAAACTTCGGTGAAAGGCCTAATAGACTCTGCATGTCTATTGCAGGCAATCAATCCAAAGTGACTTCCAGCATCATAAGATGTGAATATAATAGCTTCCAAACACCAATCGAAAATTGCCTTGCTTTGTGACAATAATGAGAAAAAGCAGAATTTTTCCCAGTAATGACAGTGATCACAGTTAAATAAGAGGTATATTTTCAGTTTTAATACAATTTATATGTAGGCTACATAAGGATATAGTTTGTTTTAAAGTTTAACTACTTGTTTTATGATGATTTTTATGAACAGGTCTGGGTGGCTGATGATAGGTGTTATCATAGTGAGCCTTCTTGTGTTGGAACTCATTCACTAATTATTATTTTCAGCTGTTGGTTTGATTCATTGGTTCAATTCTAGCCAATTTGTATGGCTCTTGATGCCTGTATAACTGGATTTGGCATGAACATAACTACATGGTTTGACATTGCGTGTGCCTATGTTTGTTCTACAAAGTGAAATTGTTGCATTTTATGGCACCTAATGTTTCATTTTCCACAATTGTATTGGTTCTAGAATTAAGTTATCTGTTGTGTGAGGGTACAATTCTGGATTCAAATTGCACTTGTAAAGTTGTTTTTTAACTCGCATGTTGAGGTTGAGCTCTAGGTTTGCTTTAACTGTATGGCCATGTGCCCTAGTTGCATGATTGGACTTGATTCTTGACTTAAAAATTTATTGAACTTTCACCTCTTCTTGGCTGAAGTGGAACAGCCTGTTTATATTTCTGCATTGGCATTGGTGTTGTTCCACTTGCCTTGACTGTGTGCATATGATGTGATCATGCATACAATTGACATCTGAGCAGTCATTTACTTGTAATTGATTACATATAGGGAGCATTGGATGGTGGTTTGGATATTCCTCACAGTGACAAGAGATTTGCTGGATTTTCAAAGGAGTCCAAACGACTTGATGCGGAAATTCACCACAAGTACATCTATGGGGGCCACGTTCATGCATATATGCAGGTAAGGTTTAAAATATCATGCCATACCTTTTTATTGACAGAGATGAGACTTGGAATGTTGCAAAATTAATTAAGAAGAAAAAAAGTAGATGAAACTACTCCTTTTTAGTGACTGTTTTCTTGAATGTTTCTAGAATCTGATGGAAGATGAACCAGAGAAGTATCAGTCTCACTTCAGTGGGTATATAAAGAGAGGAATTGAAGCAGATGGCATTGAAGAGATGTACAAGAAAGTTCATGTTACCATCCATGTCGATCCAACTACTAAGAAGTCTGAGAAGCAGCCACCCAAGGAGCACAAGAGGTGATGAAATTTTTAACAGAATAAATCTTATTGTCTTGGCACATATGGGTAAAATGTTCAGTTTGAAATGGCCTTATCAAGTTTTAGCTATTTGATTTGGTAAATATTGTCTTTTGGCTTTCTTATGATGCAAGAGGGGATTGCTTGGGTAATATTATCATTGCGTGAGAATACTATCTTAATGCATTTCCAGTATCTGCATTGTTTATAGCATTTTTGCTCATAGGCACTGTTAACTCCTGTATAGACATGGTAGTGTTGGAAGAGTTTATTTTTTCAAACAGTGATTGAACAAGAGGAAGTAATAATTGTACAACTGTTCAAAACCACTGGTAACTCCTTGAAAGCCAAGATCGTGTTGGTGAAGCTTTTTTTTTCAAACCCTGATTGAACTAGAGGAAGTAATAATTGGATGGTTGTTCCATTTTGAGTAACATAACCCTGATAATTTTCCCTGGATATATACCTTTTGGTAATGCCATCTTTTTTATACCTCAGGTACAATTTGAAGTAGCTTACATACGAGCAGAGGAAAGGTAAGCTGATTGAGCGATTGAATGCTCTTAATGCTGCTGCAGGATTTGATAATGAAGATGTTGAGGATGATGAGTGAAAGGAATATAGTCAGAACAGAGCAAGTTTATAGTTCGTGTTTTCCTCACTACATACATACGCTGCTCAAGGCAGTTCAAATTAAGACCATTTTGTTCTTATGAAATTTTGTTTTACTTTTTCAGCATTATTGCAGCTTGTAGAGCCTTTTTATATTTTGATGGTGACAAGATATTGGACATTAATTTGATATGGAATGCAATTTCATTTTGGAATTCTTGTTTTTGATGGATAAACAAATCTGGTAATCTGTTGTCCAAATACTAACCTTGATTCTTATGCTACAGGCTTTTGGTTCGTTATGGTCACNGAGATGCTATGGAAAGTTAAGAAAGAACTCTACAACTTTCATGTTTTGAGTTTTAAGAGATATTCACTGCATCAAGGTCTAAATTGGGCTTGAAGTTGCAGCCAGTGCACAGTTCACGTGNCTTGCCGCAGCAGCAGTAAAATGGATTCTTTCAAATATATGCATTTACAAGATGAATTCTTGGCACCTCTGAGCCCAATTCCTAACTTTGTGAATCAGAAGATCAATTGAACCAATCTTTTCTTACATGACTGCACTCGGAAATTTCAGAAAGGTGGATGTAATTTCTAGAACCAAGGATATTTCTNGGTGATATTGTTCTTGCCGCAGCAGCAGTAAAATGGATTCTTTCAAATATATGCATTTACAAGATGAATTCTTGGCACCTCTGAGCCCAATTCCAAACTTTGTGAATCAGAAGATCAATTGAACCAATCTTTTCTTACATGACTTGTAACGCCCCAAAAACCCCCTTGGGTGACATTACATTCTAAAAACCATTCACCNGATATTTCTGCAAACACTACCATGCTCAACAAACTTCGGTGAAAGGCCTAATAGACTCTGCATGTCTATTGCAGGCAATCAATCCAAAGTGACTTCCAGCATCATAAGATGTGAATATAATAGCTTCCAAACACCAATCGAAAATTGCCTTGCTTTGTGACAATAATGAGAAAAAGCAGAATTTTTCCCAGTAATGACAGTGATCACAGTTAAATAAGAGGTATATTTTCAGTTTTAATACAATTTATATGTAGGCTCCATAAGGATATAGTTTGTTTTAAAGTTTAACTACTTGTTTTATGATGATTTTTATGAACAGGTCTGGGTGGCTGATGATAGGTGTTATCATAGTGAGCCTTCTTGTGTTGGAACTCATTCACTAATTATTATTTTCAGCTGTTGGTTTGATTCATTGGTTCAATTCTAGCCAATTTGTATGGCTCTTGATGCCTGTATAACTGGATTTGGCATGAACATAACTACATGGATTGACATTGCGTGTGCCTATGTTTGTTCTACAAAGTGAAATTGTTGCATTTTATGGCACCTAATGTTTCATTTTCCACAATTGTATTGGTTCTAGAATTAAGTTATCTGTTGTGTGAGGGTACAATTCTGGATTCAAATTGCACTTGTAAAGTTGTTTTTTAACTCGCATGTTGAGGTTGAGCTCTAGGTTTGCTTTAACTGTATGGCCATGTGCCCTAGTTGCATGATTGGACTTGATTCTTGACTTAAAAATTTATTGAACTTTCACCTCTTCTTGGCTGAAGTGGAACAGCCTGTTTATATTTCTGCATTGGCATTGGTGTTGTTCCACTTGCCTTGACTGTGTGCATATGATGTGATCATGCATACAATTGACATCTGAGCAGTCATTTACTTGTAATTGATTACATATAGGGAGCATTGGATGGTGGTTTGGATATTCCTCACAGTGACAAGAGATTTGCTGGATTTTCAAAGGAGTCCAAACGACTTGATGCGGAAATTCACCACAAGTACATCTATGGGGGCCACGTTCATGCATATAGGCAGGTAAGGTTTAAAATATCATGCCATACCTTTTTATTGACAGAGATGAGACTTGGNGCTTGATGCGGAAATTCACCACAAGTACATCTATGGGGGCCACGTTCATGCATATATGCAGGTAAGGTTTAAAATATCATGCCATACCTTTTTATTGACAGAGATGAGACTTGGAATGTTGCAAAATTAATTAAGAAGAAAAAAAGTAGATGAAACTACTCCTTTTTAGTGACTGTTTTCTTGAATGTTTCTAGAATCTGATGGAAGATGAACCAGAGAAGTATCAGTCTCACTTCAGTGGGTATATAAAGAGAGGAATTGAAGCAGATGGCATTGAAGAGATGTACAAGAAAGTTCATGTTACCATCCATGTCGATCCAACTACTAAGAAGTCTGAGAAGCAGCCACCCAAGGAGCACAAGAGGTGATGAAATTTTTAACAGAATAAATCTTATTGTCTTGGCACATATGGGTAAAATGTTCAGTTTGAAATGGCCTTATCAAGTTTTAGCTATTTGATTTGGTAAATATTGTCTTTTGGCTTTCTTATGATGCAAGAGGGGATTGCTTGGGTAATATTATCATTGCGTGAGAATACTATCTTAATGCATTTCCAGTATCTGCATTGTTTATAGCATTTTTGCTCATAGGCACTGTTAACTCCTGTATAGACATGGTAGTGTTGGAAGAGTTTATTTTTTCAAACAGTGATTGAACAAGAGGAAGTAATAATTGTACAACTGTTCAAAACCACTGGTAACTCCTTGAAAGCCAAGATCGTGTTGGTGAAGCTTTTTTTTTCAAACCCTGATTGAACTAGAGGAAGTAATAATTAGATGGTTGTTCCATTTTGAGTAACATAACCCTGATAATTTTCCCTGGATATATACCTTTTGGTAATGCCATCTTTTTTATACCTCAGGTACAATTTGAAGTAGCTTACATACGAGCAGAGGAAAGGTAAGCTGATTGAGCGATTGAATGCTCTTAATGCTGCTGCAGGATTTGATGATGAAGATGTTGAGGATGATGAGTGAAAGGAATATAGTCAGAACAGAGCAAGTTTATAGTTCGTGTTTTCCTCACTACATACATACGCTGCTCAAGGCAGTTCAAATTAAGACCATTTTGTTCTTATGAAATTTTGTTTTACTTTTTCAGCATTATTGCAGCTTGTAGAGCCTTTTTATATTTTGATGGTGACAAGATATTGGACATTAATTTGATATGGAATGCAATTTCATTTTGGAATTCTTGTTTTTGATGGATAAACAAATCTGGTAATCTGTTGTCCAAATACTAACCTTGATTCTTATGCTACAGGCTTTTGGTTCGTTATGGTCACAGAAATCATATTCTAATGGCACTCACATATATTCTCCTATTCCGGTTGACAATAGGCATTTTTCGATCAATTCCAAACCTAATAAAACTTTATTTGATTTTGCTATTTTTTAGTATGCTCATGATTCCAAAGTGGTTTATCTCTTTGGTCAGTATGATTGGGCGATGTTAGTTGCGTGAACCTCTGATGCTGAATCTGCCTAAGAAAACCAGGAAGCCATCAGGTCCGGTGTCTTGCACTAGAATGCTAGTAGCTGTTAAGGGATTTTTCTTTTATTCTTAGGTGATCGGGTATTGGGTTTGGTGTTGTTGCATAAGCAGTTACCCTTGCATTGTGGTGGACTAGACCGAAGATCAAAGGTTTTGGCATGTGCTCCGTTGTCATTAGTTCGCTCGTAACTAGTTTGAAAGACTCATAACCCGGTGAAATCCTGCAAACCTTTGGACCTGTACGTTTGTGGGGAAACAAGAGAACAAATGGACATGAGAAAGTCTTCTGGAAAGTGATATTCAAAACCAATCCTTATTATTGGCAACTAAAACTACTTTTCATTAAATGTATCAAACAGCATTTTGATTTTCGACCTTGTTTTCTGAAATTTCATAAACTGAAAACTGCTGTTAATATGACTGCATTTTACATTTTTTATTTTGACTCCTAAAATTTCAATTTATGATGGTATTTTTTGAAAATGATCAACAAATCAAATTTACCAGTCAACTGTCAGATTTGATAAGAAAATCACATATAAAATATTATAGTTTCCCAGTCAAATATTGTTATTTATAGAATTATAAGATAATTCTCAGGAACATATCCCCTCAAAATCTTCCTCATTTTGTGCTGCAAACTTGGTCTCTTGAACAAGTCTTTCTACACTGCCACCTTTGGCTGCTCCTCCGCCATACCTACCTCTACCTTCGGCTGCTCGGCGATGGCGTTTTCAATTTCTTCTGTAGGTGGAATTTATTCACATTTGAAAATTTTAATCTCTTTGCTCTTTCTTGATTTTAATGTAATGCTAGTTTATGAATAAAATTTTCTCCTTTNGCGATGGCGTTTTCAATTTCTTCTGTAGGTGGAATTTATTCACATTTGAAAATTTTAATCGCTTTGCTCTTTCTTGATTTTAATGTAATGCTAGTTTATGAATAAAATTTTCTCCTTTCTTTGACGAGGTTTTATTTAAAAAGAAAAAAAATGATATTCGACTCTGTTAGTCATATTTTAGTTCATTGTCTAATTTGTTTTTGTGTTCACTATTTTTAGTTAACTGTTTGAGTTTACTGGTTATTCAATATTTTTAAGTTTATACTTTCCAAAAAAAATAACTTTGTTTTGAGTGAGTTCACAGTTCTTGAATTCACTATTTTTNATGATATTCGACTCTATTAGTCATATTTTAGTTCATTGTCTAATTTGTTTTTCTGTTCACTATTTTTAGTTAATTGTTTGAGTTTACTGGTTATTCAATATTTTTAAGTTTATACTTTCCAAAAAAAATAACTTTGTTTTGAGCGAGTTCACAGTTCTTGAATTCACTATTTTTTTTTCCTATTTTTGAGTTTATTATTTTNTGATATTCGACTCTGTTAGTCATATTTTAGTTCATTGTCTAATTTGTTTTTGTGTTCACTATTTTTAGTTAACTGTTTGAGTTTACTGGTTATTCAATATTTTTAAGTTTATACTTTCCAAAAAAAATAACTTTGTTTTGAGTGAGTTCACAGTTCTTGAATTCACTATTTTTTTTCCTATTTTTGAGTTTATTATTTTTAAATTCATCAATCCCATCATTTTTTTTGAGCAAGTTCACTGTTATTTACTATTCTTAAATTCACTGTTTTTTGCTGTTGTTGAGTTCATTGTTTTTAAGTTTACTGTTTGTGAAAATTTTGTAAACTAGGAGTTTTGTTCTATTAAATTTCACTATTTTTAGATTTCACTGTTTATGTTTTTTTAAATATTTTTTGAGT